TTTATTGGGGTTTGAACAAAAACGCCTTTACCCGCTGATGAATCGTATAATTGTCACATTTGGGGAAAATGCCAACATGAGGTGAGAGAATATTATCATCATTTGTTTCCTAGCTTGTCATTGGTGTCAGTATCAAACACAACAAAAACAACAACAAGTTATTTCAGTATTACCATTTCTATACATGGTGTTACTGAGTAAGTTTGAATGAATCAAGTTCTATTTTCAGAGCAGAGGTAATTTGGGAAATGTCAATATAGTCATCATGTTTCACAGATATCAACAAGGAAAGACTGGAGTTTCGTTTTGAACCGCTTTTTTGGGAGCTGGTATATTATTTCAAATTTTAGCTCCTACTCTTGAAAAAGCTCTCTTTTGGATATCTAGGCTAGATTTCTTAATATAGAGGTTATTTGACGAGGAAGACCGAGTGTTATAAGAATGAATACTAGGGTTGCGTTCGATTGGAAAAATCCGGATTTCGGATTTTGCAATCGAACGCAAAATCCGAAAACGGATTTCACCTCCGAGAAATCCGTCCTCAGGGTGGATTTCAATTGAGAAATCCGAATCTGGATTTCATGGATTTCCTTTTTGCCGTTCGATTGGGAAATCTGAAAAAGGATTAGCAAAACTGTTCTCGTGAACAGCGGTGTTCTTTTTGTTAATTCCTTTTCTTGCGTGCCGTTATGTGCTTTCTTTACGCATCCTTTACGGCAGCTTTTCTAGTTCAACGTTACGCGCCTTTATGAAAGTGTAAACTTGCGTAAAGCTTTGTCTTCGAACTTTACGGAACTTTAAGGAATCATGCCAGGTAAAGTTCGTAAATTTCACTTTTCGTGCTGTATTTTTGAAATCCTTTTTCGGATTTCCCGATCGAACAGTAAAAATGAAAATCCAAAAAGAGATGTCTCAGCGTTGAAATCTGTTTTCGGATTTCGCGTTCGATTGTAAATCCGAAATCCAGATTTTAAAATCTAAATCCAGATTTCCCAATCGAACGCACCCTAGTAGTATCGCAGAATAGACCTTGTCACGGTTTTCGACGCCATCTTGACGAGTAGGCAAACGGGTGAGAAATTACAGTGTTTGTATGAGAACCTAATGTCGAATAATTTCCGTAGAACGGCTGTTCTGAAAAAAAAAAAAAAGAATTGTAAACTAAAGCTTCACTCCGAAGGATTCTATTGAAAATAATTGAGAGCGTTAGCAAGACTGAACACTTCAAGTCCCTAACAGAAAAATGATAACTCTTCAGCTATTGCTGATCAGGACACTGCCACCGGACATAACATTAAATGGGATCACTTTGAAATCTTAGCATCTGGCAAAACAGATTATCATTGTAAGATTGTACGCGGGAGGTTGGAGGTTGGAAAAATGACGAACTGAAGGGCAAAAATAAAGAAAATAAGGGGGTCTTCGTTTTCGGGTCTTAGTTTTCGGGTCTTCGTTTTCGAAGATGAACAAAGGGGCAAAAGTAAAGAAAATAAGGGGGTCTTCGTTTTCGGGTCTTAGTTTTCGGGTCTTAGGTTTCGGGTCTTAGGTTTCGGGTCTTCGTTTTCGGGTCTTAGGTCTTAGGTCTAAATTTTCGGGGGTCTTAGTTTTCGCAACAACCGTTTGTGCTAATGTCGAATAATTTCCATAAAACGGCTGTTCTGAACAAAATATCAATTGTAAACGAAAGCAACAAAGCAAAGGATTGTCCTAAAAAATTTTGGGGGCGTACTCGTGCTTGAATTTCTCCAGAGGCTTGCTTTAGGTTTTCCATATATCTGTCTGTAATTTTCCCGGGACTTTCCAACAGACAAATGTATAGGAAATTTAAAAAAGTGGTTCTAAGTCTTCTAGTGCATGCAACGCCCTCAGATTTTTTCAGGAGAACCCTTAGGGGTGAAGCTTTAGTTTACAAGTCATATTTTTTTCAGAACAGCCGTTATACGGAAATTATTCGACATTAAATTCTCATACAATCACTGTAATTTCTCACGCGTTTGCCTACTCGTCAAGATGGCGTCGAAAACCTTGACAAGGTCTATTTTGGAATATATAGTCTCGTCATTTTCTTTAACGGTCACTTAAGATCACTTTTGAAAATGTATGTCGAAAAGCATACGAAACGTCAAGTTTAAAAAATACGAAAACTCACGATGATTATCACCGCTGTTTTTGTTTTATTTTTGATAAATTATGGCTTTTATTTCGAGCAGGTCTATACACCAACATAATATCCTAAAGGCCTTGAGAGGGTGTGAATGGGGTTAACCGACTAGTAACAAAGGGCGAAAAATATTACTGACTACCGACAAAACGAGAAAAAAATTACCGACTACCGACAGGAAAAATATTAACCGACTACCGACTTAGGCTGACATTATCAATATTTGTTTTCAGAAAAAAGGGCATTTTGCATTTTTTTTCCTAGCCGTTAAGAAGTAACCTCTTTAAATTTATGACTCATTAGATGGTCTAACAGAAAGAACTTCCTCTTTTGTTGATAAGGGTACATTACTACAACCAATATCATAATCACAGAGGCCACACCTTAAAGGTGCTACCGACTTTATAAATTTTATTGAAAAGACAAAGGTGAAAAAGCTGAGCGTTTCTTGTTTCGGTCCGAGAAATGCTTAGAATAATCCTCAAAGAAAATTCTTTCCAGCTTAATGAAAAGCACTATATAGTAAAAAAACACGGTACCGCGATGAGCACATACAGCAGTTTCCTTTCCAACATTTTCATGGCTGCATACATTGAAACACAAAGTTTAAGCAAAACCGTCTTTAAACCAACTGTTTGAAAAAGCTACATAGATGTTACTTTTTCCCTATGGGACATAAGTAAACCAGACATGGTAGATTTCTTCAAATTCACGGATCAAGTAAACTTACTTCACCCTACCGCTCTACTGGCAATGAAATTTACGGCCGAAATATCTGACACTGAGACAATCTTTTTAGACCCCGTTGTATACCAAGGCACAACATTCAACGAAAAATGAGAAAAAGTTATCATTGACGTAAAGACGCATTTTAAACGGAAACCTTCCAGTATATACATTTTCACCTCTTACCACCCACCAATTGTTAAAATGGATTTGACAAACAGGAAGCCTTGAGAATCCTACGAACAAACTCCTCTGAGGAAGTATTTCAGATTTCAAAAACCGGTTGATGGACAGAGGCTGGCCACACAATTTTGAAATAAAAATTGCTATTAGAAGTAAAACTCACAGAAGGAAAGCAGCGCTCCTGAAACAAAACAACAAGGAAGAAAAAGAAATATTGTCTTTCGTGACACAATACAAGCCCTTCAGTGTCTATTATGAAAGAAGCTTTAATGAAAAAGTGTAATCTCATACAAAACCAAACACTACCTTGCCAACTTAACCCTCGGACGTACACGCAAAATCATAACCCCCACCATGGTTGCATTTTCGTAGATGGAACCCCTCCCCAGAGTTTTTGATTTTGCCTTCCCTGAAAAGCCTTTGATCTTCTTAACAAGATGAGGTATATTTTATGAATGGTGGTGCTGCTGGAGGCCTGTTACGTCACCAACAATGGTCGGCATCTTTGCCGCCATCTTGGATTTTACCAAGAATTAGTCTGATCAGGTTAAAACAGCGAGAAATGGTAATTGCTTGACAAGAATAATAACACATAAATAAGCACTTTGCATAATTTTAGCTGCAAGATTTTTCTTTTATTGTTGAAAAAGTTGAAAAAGAGACATTCATTTTCACTCAAAATGGCTTGACCACCTGCTACTTATTACGTCATACCTCGTAACCATAGAAACTGATTATCCCTAAACTTGTCTCAAAATGCGTGCGAGGGATAAACAAACATCTACTGAAAACGTCAGGTGCTGAGGTTTTATCCTCTTGGAAAAATCCCAGAAAAACCTAAAGAGGGGGTGGTATCCACCCCCCGCCCCTTGTACGTCCGAGGATGAAAGTGTTATTTCTTTGAGAAAGGAAAATTATGGCAAGGGACATGCTTATGCTTGTTAGAGCCAAAACATTAAAGGTATAGATGTGCAGCCTGTCACCCCTTGCAGTTTTTCACTAAGAATAATTTAAGCCAGTATCCAAAAGGCTGGAGTCCATTAATTAATTAATTGCTTTTTACTGTGCCCTGTAGTCGACAGGGAAACCAAGTTCGCATTTACAATAAAAGGTTTGGTGATTTTATGAGTACTCATGATATTCATTTGGCAAACAATGGTGAAATAAACGATCATGTTGCATAAACAAACAAGAGTTAATGAAATTCATTTGTACAAGTTTTACTCTTTCCTTAGGGATCAAAGTCTTGAAACTGGGTGAAATACATAAACATATTACTAATTAACAAGCGTTTTTTACTTATTAAGTGCGATTTTCCGACAACCGACAAAAATCAAAAAGTTTAACCGACTACCGACAAAGATCGAAAATTTTAACCGACTACCGACAAAATAACTGAATTTTAACCGACAACCGACAAGTCGACCCCCCCATTCAGACCCTCCCTTGAAAATTTGCAACCATTAGAAATTTTACCTCAAGTTGTTTTTAAACAAGACATGGTTCCCTAGTCATACAATAGATAGACTACCCCGTGGGCAGTCTATCTTTTGAAGTAAGCATCTTTGGTTCTGAAATTGATTCCCAAGACGCCAATAAATATTTACCGTAAACTCTAACGTATTTATGAATAATAAACTGAATAAACAGGTTACGGGTATGAGATTGACAAAAGTAATTATTCAATCTAATTACAGAATTGCTAAACGATTAGTAAAACAGTGGTTAGAATAAAAAAAAATGGGTCAGAACAGATGTCTAAAGTATATTCTCATATCCGTTAGCCTCCAAAACAACCATTTGGGTCGGGTTGTATTCTGAGACTGGCTTTATTGAAAACGTGAAATTGCCGTGGACTAATAATAAGATAATCCATAAATAATTAATTTCAATCGTATCGTGCCAGCTAATGGATAGAGAATGCATACTTGTAACTTAAAAATATATGTGAAACACACCACAGTGTAGAGTCGTATTCCTCCAGCCGATAGTTACAAAGTAGGAAAACAGGTAACACTGGTAAGATCTCAAATGATTCCGAAAATATAATGGCAGCTGAATCGATCTTTAAACTAGCGATACCGCTGTTTGCGTTGGTGGGAATTTGGCCTCGTCGATGCATCACACTTGCAAACCAAGGTTAGAAAACATTTCCTGGATATATCGGTTGTTTAGCCATAGAGTCTAAGCTTTTAATAGCACACTCAGATTAAGGGCCCCAATTTTATAACTACAGTCGGGGGACAAAAGTATTAGTCACTTTCAATATAGCGGCGTTTGTTTACGCGCGCTAGTTTTAACACCGTTTGCGGCAAATCTAACTTTAAAATCACCTTAATATTTAGTGAGATGACTCTTCATTTCAATTACATTATTTAGGCGGTCAGGTATGGACTGGTAAAGGCCTCTTATATAATCCAATTCTGATCCGCCACACGCTCTGGATTTCACGCAGAAGATCATTTTTGGTAGAGATATCTACCGCAGACTTTTGTAGCTCTCTCTTCATGTAGAGCCAGATATTTTCTATTATATTTAAATCTGGTGTGGTGTAGGATATTGCCGGGTAGCTAGCCTGCGTAGCTGGCGGTATTGTGTAGTAGTCGAGTGAAATTTGGCGGCGGAGCCGTTGTAATATAGTCGAATGAGATTTGACGGCGGAGCTGTCACGAGCGGCGAAGCCGTGAGAAATACCAACCGCCTCGTCCCTACTCCCTTTTTTTGGAACACGGCTCCGCCGCCAAAACTTTAATCTCGCACCCACACTATACCGCCAGCTACGCAGGCTACCGGGTAGCTTACCAATATGACTGGTGATTGAATTAACTGAAGAGAAAAGAAAGGGGTTATATTCTTTGCAAGAGAGAATTCTTTGTGAGCTTTTGTGGTGTTCAACTATAGATCTTTTTCGTCGTACTCCTCAAAGTTCTTTGTTGCCTTTCACGGTTGCTGTTATTTCTTTGACCACAAACACGTGCACAGCGTGCAAAATTTTGTTAAAAGCAGAAACTTAACCATTTTCAGTTTCACGTTTACGTACGTTTCAGGTGACTGCAGAAAGCTGTCGTTTCCACCATATTTGTTCTTTGCCAACAAACGTCTGGTGAACCACGTAATAAAAACCGAGCAAGTCCCTGATATGGATACATGTGAAATGTTATGTTTCAACGAGCACGACTGCGTCAGCTGCAATTTTGAAAATAACGTGAGCAGCGATGATGGAACACACCAATGTGAACTGAACAATTCAACTCAGCAAGAACACGAAGAAGATTTCCTGGACACAGTCGGTTTCTTCTACCATGGGACCGACGTAATGTCAAATTATTCAATTTATAGTTCTCTTTTTTAGATAATCAGTTTTCATTCATCGAGGATATAGCCTGCAAGCTAGAAGCTATTTTCGCTTGTCTTTAGAGAAAAGAGAAACAGGCAACCTAAGTTCAGTGGAAATGAAATTTGTGAGATCTCACTTACTGTTTGAAGTGGAAATAAGTCGGGCAAGTTTGTATGAAATAATGTAGAAAAAATGATTGGTTCATGTTACTATCTTTGCATTTTTATCAAAATGACGAGTTTCTTTACGTTGAAAACGGTTGTCCCTGAAATACTCTTTACACAAATGCGCCCGACACTAGCATCAGTTTCAGTTTTCAAACACTTTCAAAAGAACTTTTTAATTAAACTTAAAAAGTTAAGTAAGTTTAAAGCGTATTGAAAATACATCTAACTTTGAACAGCGAAACAAACCTTAGGTTTTGCAAATTTTTCTTGCATTACTCTTTAAATTTAAACCGGGGGGTGTATCGGAGAAGGCTTGCGGACTGATCCACCTTTTTTCAATGCGAAGTGAGTGGTGGTGTTCCGAAAATCTAGTAAATAAATAGAGTAACATACGTTGACATGACAATGACTGGTACCTCTTTTTGATACTGCGTGTTGATTGTTTGTTTGTTTCTTTTACAGAGCGCTTGTGATAGCAACCATTGTCTCAACGGTGCAACTTGCCAGTCTGGATTCACAGACAAACTATATCGCTGTCTCTGCCCTACGGGATGGACAGGCGAGCATTGCGAACAAGGTAAAGAATGACGATTTTATATCGTACTTTTCGCTGTTTCTCAACCCGAGTTCTCAACTACCTTCCATCTTTGTAATTAAAGTACAATCGAGGATATACCAATAAATGTTGTGTTTTTCGGCAGGTAATCCAAAGCTAATACAAATGAACGAGTATTTACGGTATAAAATAAGCGATGAACTGACATTTTCCAATATTTCGGATGGTAAAGCTGTTCTTTAGGTGGAAAAAAGATTAAGGAAGGCCTGACCTGGGCTGACCGTCCGAATTATCAGTAAACCCCAAGTTTAATTTAATCTTAGTTCCTTTTTTGAAAGGGGCAAGGTTTGTATAACGTCGTCATTTTCTTGAACGTTTTAACGTTAATTAAGGCCATGAAAATGAAAAAAAGTGGCTAGAATAAGACGCCAATGTTTGTTTATTCATTTATTTATTTATTATGATGGCAAACAAGAAGGGGAAAGATAAAGCCATATGGACAATCCGTATGGAAGTTGATGACCCCATATCAAAAACAGATAATAGGTCAATCGAGATAACACTTTTGTATATAAACATACTTAAAGAATAAAATATCAGAGAAATTGTTTAATGTACAGAATATATACACTCAAAAAAGAATAGAAATGGTACTATTTGAGGGTAAGGTTCTAGTAAGAAGGGATAAAACGGGTATGAAACTAACAAGTTAACAGCGTCCAAACACTTGCCTTAAATATATTTGCATAATTTAGTGGGGCTACGAATGTCTGTTTAATAGCAAGGCATCACAATTGTCAACAATCCTATAAAGGAAGTTATGTTTAAGACCATTGGCTCGTTTATCATTTGCTAATAGTATAATATATTTGTTTTTTGTTTTGCTTTTTGTTTCTTTGTTTTTTGCCGTATTGTAGTACTGTACATGCACTTTCTTCGCTCATCATTACTCAAAACCCCACTACAGTAAAACCCCGCGTATAAGAACCTGTTGGGCTAATATTTTCATTTTAAGCCCCCTCCACATAAGAACGTATTAAGGCTAAAATTTGAAGTTAGGTTCTTATCAGTGGAGTTGCTGTAAAAGTGTATCAACTTTGAAATGGCAGTTCAGGGAACTGACTATGACTTTCTTTGTTATGTTTTGTTAAGGACATAGCTGCACTGTATTGCCTTTAGGCATTATGTTATAAATGATTTATATTGTATTATGAGATGACATTTATAATATACTTAAATGAAATTCATATGAAAATATAAGAACCTATTTTAAGAACCTTAGTAGTCTAAATTTGCTTTAAGTACCATTTATATAAGAACCTGTTAAGGCTAAATTAAAAAATCCAGGTTCTTATACGCGGGGTTTTACTGTACTTTAAAAACTTCTCGCCTCAGGTTACCCCACGTCGTTTATGTCAAGTCCGACAAAGTTTTCCAACCTTCAGGACTTGTCGACTTGAATACCTACAAACACCTCGTTCCCAGATCCTCTCTCCTTCCCTTCACCTGGAGAATCTCGAAGAGATCGCTGTGGCAAGGTCTGCCGGGTAACGTGGACGGAGTCCTGACTATTCGCCAGTTATGCTGCTAGGAAATTACGTTTAAGGCGCTGCACTCTTCTTTGGGGTTACTTTATTTTCATTTCTATTACAGACATCGATGAATGTGACGGTGGAGTCCATGATTGCCTTCCTAGTTTGGCTTCCTGTAAAAACACATTGGGTTCGTTTAATTGTTCTTGTAACCATGGATACATAGGAGATGGAAAGACAAACTGTACAGAGGCACCAGGTAAAATTATTGACAATTTTACACTCTGTGCGTTTTGTTTTACTGAGGTTGCAATTGGCTTTGTTTTCCTATAACAAAGAGATTTCATTTTTTTCTTAAATAAGTATCTCAGCGGTCCAGAATCGTTAGTTGTTACTCGTTATAAATCTCACGCATGCGGCAGTACCAACTATTTTACTGTTTCAAAACTTTAGTTTACTGACTTCGTTTTTGTGGTCTAGTCTATCGATGTAGTAATTGCTCGAATAAGGGAATAGAGTAATTATTCAGCTCTTCGAGAAGCTGAGTTTGCACTAATTCAAGAGGGCGCTTATTTGAATGGGCTGCTTATTTCAATTCTAAAACTTTGGCCTTAAAAATAACGTTATCTTTATTTCAAGTAAACACAAACTGTAACCTCTACTAACTATGCTGTAACAGACACCGAAACCTAGAAACATGTCTGTAAGAAGAAACACAAATCTGCGTATGGCTTCTAAGTTCAGTGATCTGGCATAAAAAATCCTCCCATTATACAAGTTTCTCTCCCTAGAATATGCATATTCATTGAGTGGACGATTATTTGAAGGGAGCACCTTTTAGCCTCGGGCGTTTTCGAGTTGCATGCGAAGACAAGTTATTGGAAGCTGTGCTTGAATATCGCAAGGTCAAATTTTGCAGACGATATACTGTAAAATCCCGAAAATAAGTCCCGGGGCCTACATTTTTCAAAGGCCCTCTTTTTGAAGGGGCTTATATATGGAGGAAAATTTCCGTTTCAAAATCGCTAGGCTTATAATGGGAGGGAAATATGCGTCTCAAAATCCATTGGGCTGGCTTATAGTTAGAAAGAAATTTATATCAGTAATTTGCAGCAAGATTTTACTAAATCTCGCCTTGAGGACGTAACTCAATAGGTCCAAAGTACTTCGCCGATTTTCTGGATTTACCCTTAAATTCAGAAAATGTTATTATAATCTAAGGGGTAAGGGAAGTAACTTGGTACAGCCTAATTTTACTATTGAGTGGATGCATAAATCCTTTTCACTTATAGCTAGCAAGGTGTGGAATAAACTACTGCAGGCTATGCATTAGAAATTCTGATAATCTTAATGTGTTTAAAAAGACTCTTCAATTTTGCTTTGAATATGTTAATAAGTTATTTTATCATAATTACTATTATCTAATCTTTTCTTATGCTTTGCTATCATAGCTTAGCTCTTTTTTAAATGACAGATTTTTATGTAATGACATTTTTATGTAATGGATGTTAGTTCTTACAGCAAGTAGTTAAAGTTTTTTTTGTTCTACTTAGGTTTTTGTAATTTTTTTTTCTTCTCCGATGCAGGTCCGAACAAGGTTTTGTTAAATCCTTGGTGTTTACGTGTATAAATAAACTAATCACTTGACTTACTTAGATCTCTCTAAAACGCAGCCATGCAAGTACTTTGTCTATATGGTCCGAGGAAATCCAAGCCAACTCGGAAGAGTGAATTTACTGCGCAACCAGCAATATACTGTGACCCTTTTTAACTGCAATCATTTGGCAGAAGTTATAGTTCTTTGGCAAATGCAAAAAACTTTGTGTTACTGTAGAGTTTTTGCTTTGTTTTATTTTGAATTTGAGTGTAATTTTCGAGTACAAGCCCCCGGATTCTTGTATTTGGAGGGGCAATTTATCGGAGGTTTTTTTGCGTTACGAGTTTGGGGGGCTTGTATTTGGAGGGGATTATTTTCGGAATTTTACGGTAACATAACGTTATAGCAAACATATTTTGCCAGTCCATTAGCCTTTCATTATGTCGAGGTTCCAAATGGCAGCTAAATGGTGCAAAAAAGCACCTGACTCATAATGAATCAATGAAATTCTTTCAAACAATTTTTTTTCTAACCATTGTTTATTCTAACTATCTTAAACATTAGTTATTCTTTTCAGAATGTTATAACTTCACATCTCTGACCGACGCTGACAGGAAACCATCATTTCATCTGGTTGAACCCGCTAAAAGAGACACGAATCTTGGTCCAGGGTGGTTTCGTTTCCAAGGCGACGCAGGTAGTATGATGACTACTTCATGTCCGCCTATAGCGACGTGTAACACCGCTGCACCCGGCTGGTTAAATGGTTCTCATCCTGAAGTAACTGATGGTATTGTCACAAGACAAGTCTGTTTTAGTTACAATGCAGGATGTTGTGAGTGGCAAACCCAAATCCAAGTGAGGAATTGTAATGAATACATTGTATACTATCTTCACAGCACACCATTTCATGGAGGTTCTCTCCGCTACTGCGGCACTGACTAAAGTGAAGGAGATCTACAAACACCTAATCTGACTTTTCATGTGGTTCATATATCGACCAAACTGCCACTGAGGTGGTTATTAATGGTAGTCATTAAGTCATAGCTTGCGTAAGTCTCTTCTATTTTCTCGCTAGTAGGCGGTGGCCACCGATCTGTCGATTATGGACTTATCGGTGGCTTTTATTCTGTGGGTGTGAGCCAAACACGCCCCATTGTAACCTCTCCGTGGGACTGAGGCTAGACACTGTAAAAGAATGGACGTTTGGGGGCTGTCCGGCGGTGAGGGAGGGTCTGGTTGGGTTCGGAAAATGTAACTAATAAGTAACAAACTAGATACTGAAATTTTAACTTAACCTCTCCGAGATATAATCGCCAAACTGAAAGAGGAAGAACTTTTACCAGCACGACGTGCATAGCGTTGAACATTTTACCATTGTCTTTAAGACAAAGAGGCTCGTTCAATTCTTTCAAAAAAGCATTGTGGAATGAATTTTTCACTCAACAGCAGACTCTTGACCATTTTCTTATTTAAGTTGTTCGCTAAGTTCAGACTAGATTATACAGCTATATCTTGCATTTTATTTAGTTTAGTAGTATCCATAGTATTTAGATTATTTAGTTGTTATCTTGTATTTTATATAGCTTATTAATATCTATTAATTGTTTATCTCATTTATTTATTTATTTTAATTTAGATTTAAGAAGGCCACAAGTTTATTAGCTTTAGCTATTTAGTGTCAACCCTCATTAAATAAAGTCTTCATCTTATCTTGTTAGCTTCAAAAGTTAGTTGCCGTCTTCGTGACGAAGGCAATGCGAAACTTTCATTCTAAAAAGGTTCGAGTTTAACTTTTTGCAGCCAAATTCATTATATTGCTTTACACGTTTTGCAAACTTCAAAGAGGCTGGGATTTTCCTGTTCCGCTAATCTTCTGAGTAGAGTCGGGGTTCATGCAAATCAAAACCGCACACAGCGCTCGATCCAGCGCCCAGCTTAGGTCGAGACACGGTGGCCTGCGTAGATGGCAGTCTTTTTGTCGAGCGCGTAAATGAGCGGCGAAAGTGCGAAAAAAAAAAGATTGGCCGAAAATGAAAATGACCTTGGAATGACTTCTAGTTTACAGTGTACAAATTTCATGATTTTCGTCCGCCACCACGACCTCCTGCTTTAATTTGGTTAACCTCGATTTGAAGCTTAACAATGCCATTAGACTGGCTTTCGTTTCATCTTGTAGCTGTTTTTAAAAAGTTTCCTGCTATTTTTACACGAGTCGTATGTTTACGTCAGCTAGACAAAGAAAGCTCTTACGCACAAATACTGCCAGTAGTGTTTGAGTGTTGGCAGTTAGTTGTCTGTTGTAAGTAAGTCAGCCCCACATTTTTAACACGCCTGTCTTCGAAAAAGATAATTTATTGGCACTCACAAGCTATTCACAGGGTACTTCTCAGCTCAAACCAAGAGGTGTACGTCTCTAAAATAGAGTAGCGAACAATAAAATGGAGAACTGAAGAAGCTCTTGTTATTAAAACATCATTTGATTACTAGTGACTTCATCTTGCTGTCTTTTGTTTCTTTTGTGACTGTGCTTCATCGTAGGCCTTTCGTTTGGTCTCAAGTTTTCGTACCTACAAAAAGACAAAACGTATTTTAGCAACTGTTACAATTTGCCTCGTCTTTTGATTCTACGTATCGATCAGAGTGTAAAGTGCAAGAACACATCAAAAGACTTATCACAAACAACTACGGTTTACAAGGAATTACCAACGCTAATTTGTGAGAACAAAGGAATCCCAGCTTTGTTTCCAAGTACATACATATCTTGACTTCTTACAAAGAGAAGGGAGCTGGGCTAAGGAAACGCACACAGTCTGACCTTTGAATTAACATCACTGCCGGTAATTCACCAACAATTCAATTCAATTCAATTGTATATTTTACAGTATATAAGACATTTACACAGTTGGCGGACTGTATACAAGTAGTACGAAAACAAAAATTGATGACAAGTATTCAATAGGTGTAACATACTAAATATTACCTCGCAACAGTTTTTAAAGAAACCGAGATCCAAATACTGACCGACGGAAGCGATTTACATATGACATGCAGGATACGACTTGAAGCCTAGTTTAAAATTATACGAGACCTTGCTTGCCTCACCTCTGATCTCTTTTTCTTTTTAGAATGCATTATCCTGTCGTATAACCGTTTGTCTTTCTTTTTCATGGCCATCAACGCTAAGTTCTTCTCCTCTTTGGTCATCTCTTCACTCTTTTCTTCTAAATTCAAGACAACGAAGAGCATAAAATTTTTGGAGGCAAATACTTCATCCTTGAAAGGCTGCAGGAAGCAACGACATTTCCAGTATGGAACACCATTTACTTAGAGGAGCTGTGTCAGGGAATTTACCAAAATTGAGACATAATTAGGCAACTGCCGCCAAATTGAGCGAAACACGAAAATAACCGCATAAAACAATAGAAGAAGGTATAAACAACACAGAAATACAAAGGATGGCATGGATGGACAAAATTAGAAAAAGTGAAACGGATTGCAATAATTATTGTGGTTATTGAAAACTTGTTACCCTAAAAGGCTTTCAAAGTTCATTTTTGTTATTCAGTAGTGCTGGAAATAATAGTTGGAGGACAGATTTGCTGGACATTAAGCTGTGATTTTGTTATTTACAAGTAGTATCTAATAAGGACGAATAAGGACAAATTATGTAGTTGGTTACTCTACTGAGTAATTGACGTGCTTGCCCTTTGAATTGAGCTTATGACTGACCTATTCATGCAGCAAGCCTTGAGATCGACGCGTAATTAACCAAAATCACTTAATGTAATTATAATTGAAAAAAAAAATGACCTAGACAGCCTTCAAGGTATTAACAGTGATTGCAACCAAAGCTAAATACAGTGAAGCCCCTGGATATAACGAACACCATGGTAACAAGAATCATCACAGTGTGAGTAACAACCCGGTATAACGAATACTGCAGTATAACTAACACCCCACTATAACGAATACCACAGTGTACGAGCACCACGGCATAAAGAAAACCACAGTATGACGAACGTCCCGGTATAACGAACACCCCCACATACTCTCTCCCATTTGGCAGTCATTTTAAGTTCTCAAACCCTGAAGAATCACCTATTTTCGAGAGGATTATTTGAAAGCGATTTCTGTTTCTACTGCCACGTTTTGGTACCACAGAGAAAAGTTCGGACAAGAAACTAACATTGGTGTCTTCTGCCTATCAGGCTCCAGACATCTTGGAAGCCCCGCCCCGTTGGAGCACCAAGGCTTAGGAAGTAAATGAATTTCTCACCTTCTTCTTCATTCTGTTGAGCATATTCCACCTTCCCCTCCTCCTCTAACATGGCTCGTCTCTCAGGGGGAATGTAATCTCCTTCTTCCTCTTGGACAAATGGAGACAGATGAGGTGGCAGTTCTACTCCCGGAAAATAATCTTCAACAGGAAGCAGCTTGCGATGATTCACACAGTCAAACACCCACTGTGGCTGCACATAATACCTAGGAAAATTATTCACGGCTCGATGTAAAAACATTTACGATCGGAAACATAGAAAATGTCCCGGGAAGGAAAAAACACACAAAAAACAGAGTGATGCTCAGCATCTCACTCAGGGGTGTAAATTGAATATTGTGGTCTCATTTAGGTGCTTTTAACTGAAAGAAAGACGTAACTACACCAAAAGCAATTTTTTTTTTTCGAGCTTCCACGCCTCCATAATATCAGTAAGAATTCAACCCCAAGAAAATTTGCTAACGCTAAAAGTGAAGTTTTCGCTGTCGTCGCCGTTGTTTTGCATAGGCTGCATTGCTTTCAAATCCCTCACAAGTCATAACAATCCTCTTTGAGTCTTCATTTTGACATGGCATCATATTTACTATTATGTTTTTACTTTATCACCTCATTTCTAGTACATAAAGAACAATCCACTAAGAGAGAATCACCTTATTACCTGGATAGGTACCTGTGCCCTTGCACAGGTCGGTCTACAATTTGATGAGTTACGAATTCACTGCTTTCATCAAATGTTGCTCCCAATGCATCAGCACTGTGCCATGAAACTTCACCACCAAAACACCTGGTAAACAACACAGCATAATTCACACTCTGGACCATTTCAAAAAGCGGTAACTGTACACTCTGGGGAATACTTGGCCTTCTACGCAAAACATTCTTTTGGCCGCAAAAAATGTTTGCGTAGGAGACTTGGAATAACTGAGACAGTGACAAAAACGGCAGACAAAATACGGTCATCTTAATAATACTTAAACGTTAAGGAAACAGAAACTTCCACAAAAATCTCCAAGCAAAGAGAAGAAAGAAAGGCTTGGAAGAGGGTGAATGGGAACAGAAATCGGGAGAGTACAATCTTTTATTCGAAACACAGTTCCCACAAGCCACGGTGGTGGTCATTTGTAAGAGCTTTAAACAACAGTGCTTTGATGGAAAACAGATTTTAGTATTTTGGTTGTTTGAGAGGGGCAGTCACACATAGAAGCTGAACTATACATACAGATGTGCCACTTGTACCTGAGAACAAACACAAGTATCTCTCTTGGAACTTCTCTAGAAAGGAAAATGTTGCAATCTGAAAACAGGTTCTTAAGTTTTTCTGTTTGTTGAAACTCCTTCTTGCTAGCCTCCTGAGCTTTTCCTTCTTCACTCTGTAAAAGCAAACAAACCAAAATTAAGACTACAGAACAAGTAGAATTTTATTAAAAGACAGCAACTTACATCAGGATCAACTGGAAATTCATCCACTTCAATCTCTTCTTCTTGAGCTGAAGGAAGCATAAAGAATCTATTAGTT